TTTGGAGGAGGAGGGTTTAATTGAGTAATTAGCTGAAACTAAAGGTTGAGCTAAGGTTAAATGAAACTAGTTGCTATACCGCAAACTTTTGAAGGTTTTCTTCAAAAGTAAATCAAATGTTTAATTTATTAAGTAAGGGGTTGAAAAATAACTTCGAACTGTTCCTTTAACTCACAATGTCGCTTCAGAAGCCAGAGCGAGCAGAAGACGGGACGCTTGGTGAGGTAATCGTGTGACTGTCGGGATACTGCCTGACTACTTTTGGTTTCGGATTTTTTTTTTTCCCTTACAGGTTCAGGGTTTGGTCACAGCTTGTGGGTACAGGAGCAGCAGGAGGAGGAACACGGGTGCGTGACTAAGTTTATTCAGCCGGATCTAATTTATTTTTCTTTTCTTTGCGAGCGTGTTTCCCTCTTTGCTGAAACCATGGTGTGGTCCTTCTTCTTCGGTTTATTAATCGCGTGTACAGGTGAGCTTGTTTTCTTTCTTTGTTACATAAAGCTACCATATTGTGTCTTTATGAATTGATCGCTGCAGCTTCGAGCTCATCTTCGGGAGAAAGCCTACGCCCATTGTTTGATACATATCAGCTCTGTTCGTGGACTGTATAAACATGCTGTCCTACTGTCCGTGACCGGGTTTGTATTTGTTTTCTTTCTTATAATCGTGAATTTCAGTTTTAATCTCTGTGTTGTTAGATCTTCTCGACTAAACACAGTTTGTAAATCATTGACCCAAGTTTGTGTATTTTATCAGGTCAGTGTCTGAGCTGTTATTCCTGGGGATGTATGAAAGAGAAACTAAATGACCAAGAAGAAATATAGTAACATTTGTATCAATCACTGTAAACTAAACAACAAAAAAAAGTTAGAACCCCTCAAATCCAATCAAGTCCGACCCCCGTCACCACCACCAAAAAAGAAAAGAAAGTGCTACCAGAAACAAAGGAGGGGAGGGGGTTACATTTAGTGAAGCAAACATAAATATGAATAGAAATTGTACTCTATGTGTCTACATAAACTTGCATCTCCATTTTTCATCAACTTTGAAACATGGTTTATGGCGCTACTAGACAGACCAGCTTTTCTCAGAGATCTGTTTCTTTACAGAAGGGGCAGATTTCTTGCTAATTTTATGAGGAGATTTCTTTAAGCTTCATAGGAATAAGGAGGAAAATTTGCAGTTTCCATAACAAAGCAATGAATTATTATCAACTTCTTTGTAAGAGAAATATGAGTCATGTCACTGAGTAAGGCTGGTTAAATCTTAGTCTCTGATACTGATCCCAGACAATACTTTAAATTACTTGAATAAAGTTTCCAGTGGATATTTTGCTTCTGAAATGGATTAATTTATCGGTTGGAGGTATAATGGTGTAAGATGAAGTAACTCTGCAACAAACTTGTGGTACCAGTTATGCTT